ATGTTAGTGAGACTAGTCTATATCTAAAAAAAAAATCAAAAGAATTCACTTCAAAGTAATTTCTATTTAATTACAAATATATAATGAATTATATCTTTATAAAATTTGTGATAAATATAATTAATTTTAATACTAAACTAAACATTCATTATATTGATTTTCCAAAAATATAAAACTCATTTATGTAAACGCTTGCTAAAAACGGGCGATCCTAAATTTTTATTGAATATGCGTAATGTATATATTTTTTTGTCTTCCTCTGCTTCACTCACTGTGGACCCAAAGTGACTGCAAGGGTAAGTTGCTCCCCAGGTCTGATTATTTTTTTCCAACAGTTAGAAATACATTAATAAACACCATTTATTTTATTGAGAACTTTGAGGGGTTTCATAAATCTTTTTCTACAACTAGTAAATTCAGGAGCGCCCGTTTTTAGCAACCATTTACATATATCAATTTTATTTGATTATTTTAAGTGAAGTGCACTGTGGACCAGAGTTTCAGCCAAGGTAAGTTGTTTCCGAAGTCCAATTTTTTTTCCCAGTAGTTAGATATACATTAGTAAACACCATTTATGGTATTTAGAACTACTGGAAGGTGTGACAAAGTAAAAAAATTGTTATTTAAAAATTTTATAAATCATAAAAAAGTTTATAAGTTTCCGACAAAAACCGCTGAAAATCCGCGTAACGAACAACAACAACAAAAAGCTTTTTATTTTCCATTTTAAAATCATTTTTACAATAATAAGGTAAATAATAGCAATAATTATAAAATAATAAGCACTAGTAATCATTTATAACAATAATAATAATAATAACAACTAAAAAAAATTTATAAATAATAGTAATTACTAAAATAATAAGTAAAATGATATGTTATTTCTTATTAAAATAAGTTAATGATTAGCATGGATGGTGTCACTCATACAGATCAAAGTCTGATCAAAGGAGTGACACCATTTTTCAAAATAGTATGACTAATAATAAACATATAGACATAAAACATAAAAGATAGACACAAACTTTTAAAAAATCATATAAGTAGGTAAGAGAAAAGAAAAACAAACAAAAAAAAAAGGATAATTATTATAGTAATAAACAAAATATCTTTCAGAATTTTTTTTAATTGATTTTGATTAAGATTAAGAAAAGATGACAAAGGAGTTTGGAGTTGGAGTTAATTGAACTCATTCACAATGTACACAAGGCTTTTATTTCATTCATAGATGCACTGATACACAACAGAATTCATACCATACTTTTGAGTTTTATATGATGGTACAATAAGTTTTCCATTATTTATATTTCGCGTAGAGTGTGTATGAATTAGTCTACTTTCTATAAAAAAATTTGCGATAGAAGAAGGCAAATTTTTATTTAGAGAGATAAAAACAAAAAAAGGATTAGCAAACTTTATTAGCAAATGAAAGGTTGGAATTTTAAGTTTTTTAAAAGAATCTGATGTATCTGATTTAAAAGGTTGAAAGTTTATTATTCTAAAGGATTGGCGTTGAGATGACTAATAAATTGTGTAAATAATTGCGGGCTGTTTATATAAAACGTGTGATGTTTGTCTCACACAGTTTTGAAAAGTTACCTAAAACCAGAGCCAACGACTTTTTTAAAAAATTTCAAGATACAGAGGTCTTATTTTAGAAATTGACAATTGTGCCCCTCCTCTTTGAAACCCGTATCGCCGACCCTGAAAAGATTACTCCTAGAATTGAAACTTTTATAAATTTTGTCGAGAACTAGTAAAGTTTAGAGGGAACCAACTATCCTAAAAGTATTATCTTTATTCGTGTAATGTATAACTTATACGATACATTTTCATATATATATACAATATACTTAAATGTCTCAATCTATATCATACTCACACTATAAATATCATAATATGTATATCATTAAATATACATACAAATATATTTGAATACACATTTAAGTTTATGCATGCATTGAGAAAACTGTAAGTTTTTTTTTTTTATAATGGATACATGTTATTATGAAACCATTTATTTTCTTAATTCCATATTTTTAGTGAAGAAAATGTACGTATGTCAATAAAACAGAAGTATTTATTTGAAGGTAATAATAAAAAGTTAAAAAAACTAAAAAACATAGATTAACCAAAACATAGAACTTATTGTGGATATCTTCTCTATCAAGGTACTCCATCTTGGTATTATTGGTCTTATTATAATATACTTTTAGATTACTTCTAAACTTTACTGGTTACTAATAAATATTTTAATCATTGTTTCAATTGCAGAAGTAATCTTTTAAGTTTTAGATGACTTCACCAAACTGTGTGATACAAACAGTTCACGTTTTATATAAACAGCCCGCAATTGTTTACACAATATATCAGTTTCGCGGATTTTCAGCGGTTTTTATCGAAAATTTATAAACATATGTATGATTTAAAAAACTTAATTTTTAAACAACAATTTTTTTACTTTATCCAACCCTCCAGAAGTTCTAAATACCATAAGTATTTAGAACTTCTGGAATTTACTAGTTGTAGAAAAAATTATGAAAAGGTGTACTTACAATGATTTTTGTAAGTAGGATTTTTGCATAATTTGGTAGTTTTTTTCATTGAATCTGGCGGTTTTTTGCATTTAATCTGGTGGTTTTTTGCATTTAATCTGGCGGTATTTGCATTTAATGGTAGTTTTTTTTTATTATGATAAATAGTTTTGTTATAAAAATAGTTTTATTACTTTATTGAATTTAACTTCCTTATATACAATTTCAGCTCGTTTTCTCTTCAATTTTTTAAAACTCTAAAATGAATAACGCGCGACAAAAAAAAAAAAAAAAAACTAAGACAATGCTCAGAAATTAGTATTGAAATAAGAAATTTGATCATTAATCTTGTAATTAACGAAGGGAAAAGTATAAAAGAAGTATCGGACTTTGTGCATAGAAGCGAGGCTTCAATACGACGCCTGGTCCATCGCTATATATCAACAGGTAATATCAATCCTGGTATTAGAGGTGGTTTTCGACAGTCAGGTTGTACTGAATAAATAAGAAATAGGCTACGTGAGTTAATTGGAGATAACAAAAACTAGAATTTACAGGAGATAAAGGTAGAATGGAAAATTGATGTCAATGTCTCTACATTATGGCGATGGTTAAAAAAATTGAATTATACATACAAAATTTTAAGACCCATTAGTGAAAGACGCAATACTGCAGAGGTAAAAGAAGAAAGAAAAGCATATGTTTCATGGTATTTTTTTTTTTTTTTTTTTTAATGTTGATTTAGGTGCCCCAAGAAGTCCTTACGGTCTTATCACAGAGCACCGCGGAAGAGCATTTAATTTAAACTTGACATTGCAACAACGTTACAGAAATATCATTTATATCGATGAAAGACCGTTCAATCTTCATATAATAAGAAACCATGGATACAGTCTCCGAGGAACGACCCCAAATCAACGTGTATTGTCTTCAAGAGTCCGTAACATAACTATGATATTAGCATTAAATTGTTTAAACATAGTACACTTATTGAAGCAATAATTGGCGTAGGGGTGACAGCAGATATCTTTAAAGGATTCTTAAATACACTTAAAAGTATTTTGGGGGAGGAAGAAGAGTTTACCTTGGACAACGTTAAGCTTCATCATTCTTTATAAGATTTTTATGATAGTTATACCTAAGAAATTCATTTTTTACCTCGATACTCACCTTTTTGAAACCCTTGTGAAGAAACATTCTAGAAAATTAAGAATACTACAAGAGGACAAATAGCCCCGATTGGTTAGAGCGAATGAGGAACGGTTGTGAACACGTTACTGAACATGATCTTTCAAACTTAGTGAGACATTATTATTATTGTTGATATTATTGTAATTATTGTTATTATTATTGCTATTATTATTATTATTATTAATATTACTCAATGCTATTGGATTATACTATTTGTTACACATCTAAATTTATTTTTTACTGGAATATGTAGAATATTTTTTATTACTAGTCATTTAAGCAACTTTTAACATGCATTATAAAATTATTATTCATTTTAAAACCGCCAGATAGAATGCAAAAAACCGCCAGATTAAATGCAAAAAACCGCCAGATTAAATGGAAAAAACCACCAGATTCGTGCAAAAATCCACCAGAATAAATGCAAAAACGGGTACATTGTATAAAGTAACCATATTAAAATAACAAGATACCCAAGAAAGTCGTATACAATAAGATAATACGACGATAGCATAATATAAATATATAAATGTCATTAGCTCTAATAAATGTCATCATCTCTATATTATACCAAATAAAATATTTTACTATATCTTGTGTGTTTTTGAATCTTGTGATATGTTTTAGTATTAATTTATCGAACTGTTTTAGATATTTTTTTTAAAGATAAAAAAAAGTTTGATTAAAATTGCTTATACGTCATAAGAACTTATACGTAGTCATAGGAACTTATAAGTGGTCAACTTTTCATAAAAATTGTAGTTATTCTGTTTGCCTTTTTAAATATTTTTTTTATGTTACATTTTGATTTTGATTTTTGTTTTGAATGAAAGTTTAAAAAAAAAATCTTATGATTCTTTAATTTAATGATTTTTTAATTTTGTATTCAAAAAGTTTTTCATTACTCAAATTTATCAGTGGTTCGTTGATTTTTTATAATCTGTTAAATGCTTAGTCTGTTGTAATCAGTGACGGATCCAGCATTTATTGGTGTTTGAGATGCGATGATTGGTGGCTGCGAACAAATAAGTCCTAAAATTTCATCCCGTCCCCCACTCCAAATATGAGAGAACAAGTTCATAAAATATTTTGTGGTACTATTCTTAACTAGACTTATATTCATCGATAAATTTTAAGTTTAATGGTATTATCTCTCAGCATTTAAAAACTATGACCATTTAAAGTTAAACCCCCCTCAATTTGAGGGGTTTAAAAATACTTAAATTCGCTCGCAGCTAATTTCATACAACTTTTGTTTAATTAAAAATATATATATTTATTTGAACGTTTCGTATTAAACAATAAATAAACATTTACAAATAAAAAAAATTAAAACTCATTTTAAGTTCTGTACTCGTCTTTTTCATCTTCGATTGTTCCATACTCGTCCTTATCACCTTCGGATGTTTCATTTGTTGTATGAGTACTTGGTCGGCTAAAAGACTGTAAGAAATAAAAATACAAAAAAAACGTGTAGTCGAATAAAGTTTGGAAAGGGTGGGATGAGACGTTTTATCCTGATGACCCTAAACTCTGATAAGCAAATAAAGAAATTAAAAAAAATATGGTTTGATCATTTTGTGGAGTATGACCGTTCAAACAAGAATAATTAAATCTTTTTTTTTTGCAAACAGATAAAATTAATAATACAAGTTTTAACAAATTACAAATTTAGCGGCAGGACTTCTGGAAGATCACGAGATCTTATCATAAGGCTCTTTTACAAAAAAAACAAAAAAAACAAACTCAAAAATAGACAAAGATGTTTTCAATTGAAAAGATAATTTCTTTAATTTTAATTTTGAATGCAGAGTAATTTAATTGGATTGAAAAGTCAAAATTAGGTAAAACTATTTTGTTCCAAAGAAGAGGTCCACAATAGGATATGCAAAATTCTTCGCATTTTGTTTTGCAAAATGAAGCATTGAGGTTGTTTCAGTCTCTAGCATTATATAGAATACCGACGCATTTGGAAACTCTAGAAAAGATAATGTTAAAGTGATATTTCTAAGATAAATTTTCATCAATATAGATTCCTTGAAATTTTGTTACTTTTTTTTCTTTTTATGATTACATTGTTAATGTAGAGTTCAGGTGAAAGACGAGATATTCTGTTTTTTATAGAGCGGATAAAAGTGTTCATTTAGTTTTAGAAATGTTAAGAGAGAACCTATTTATTTTGAACCAATCTGAAACTTTTTTAAATTCATTTGTTATATTTTTGAAAAGATTAATATTTATTATTAGAGATATAAATTAAATTTGTGTCATCTGCAAAGATTATTTTGGATTTTCTTAAAATTTTGCGGAGATCGTTTAAATATATTATAAAGAGAAGAAGGTCCAAGTATGAAGCCTTGTGGAACACCACACGTTATATTCATTAATACCTGGAACGAGGATTCTTTATTATAAACATATTTATTACGATTTGTAAGATTTGCTTTTTAAGCAACTGAGGGTGTTATCTTTTATTCCATATGATGATTACCTCGTGAAATAAATTTTTTTTTAATCAAAGTGACCATACATTTAAAGTGATTTTTTTTTACTGCAGTTTGTATTGCACACGCTTAATTTTTTGAAAAAATTAAGCTTGTGCAATAGGGTGACACAAAATAGGGTTGAAAAATGAAATTTTTTGAATACAAAATAAATAAATACAAAATTTCACTTATTTTTGTTCGTTGGAAGTGCTACATTTCAAATATTGAGGATTGGCTGAACTTAATATCATTTTTATGGGTTAAAATATGTTTGTAACTAAACTTTTGTTTGATCTTAAAATAATAAAAAAAAAAAATACTACTTAAAGTTTTTACATTAATTTTTCAATTCTAGGTTCCAGTTCCTTAAGCGACATATCTTTTGTTATTAGCTTTTTATGTTCAAACTCTGGGCTAATTACAGATACCAATAGTCTATTTGCAGTAGTTGTCTATCTAGTGTCCTCCTCAATATGCTTCAGAATTTTACCAATAAAATGTAAAAAAAACATTGTATCAGGCACTAAAACAGTATATTCATTACGTATTTGGCCTCCTTCCTCTTCTAAAAATATGTAACATTGTTATGTTCACGTTGGCTTCTGACAGATGCTTAACTTTAGTTGTTTAACATCTCCTAAATAGTTTACTATGCTTGCAATAAGAAGGGTTTGATCTCGAACTCTGAGACAGGCCTTTATACTGGTGGAATTTGTTGCTGCAATGAGACCCTCACTGGTTATCTCCAGAGGCAATTTTACATGTGTGTGTGCATGTGTGTGTGGGGTGTTACAACCCCAAAAGAAAGCGTACAGGTTTGTACAAGGGGGGAGGTTTTACTGCACACATACTTTATGGATGCCCCCTAACATTTAAACACTATTATGTGAGGATGGACTTCACTTTTAATGTGACTTAAACACTATTATGTGAGGATGGACTTCAATTTAATGTGATTTAAAAGTAACTATCAAAGATTAAATAAAAAATGTCAATCAAATGATCAGATTTAAACATCATGTTAACATAAACCAGATGGCCATATCAAATTCCTTTAGTTCAAATCAAATTCATATCAAATTCCTTTAGCAAAATTATTATAAGTAAATAGATCAACAGATTTTTGGAAATCAAAATATCATTTCTTCCAAAAGTAACCAATCATTGGTTAGGCATTATTTCAAGCACTGTAATAATAAAAAATATTAAAGTGTTTTTTTAAATCTATCAGATGGCATGATTGAATATCAATATCAAATATATCAGTGACAATATCAGTGTTATAGTGTTTTTAAATCTTTTGCATCTTATTGTCTGCATGGTGTCTATTTTTTCAGGGTCAAATTGTTAAAGTAGCTTACTAATACTAAAGTAGCTTAATCAACTAATTTAAAACTAAAGTTAGAAAAAAAAAAAAAAAACTATTTGATTTTTCCAACTGGTTATAGTTCTTAATATATATCTGACAGCAGGTTTAAAACCAATAAGTAAATCAATTCAAAAGGAAACCTGTGGGCCAAGAATGCAATACAGTGGTGGTTCAGTAAGTTACTCAACTTACAATTAAAATAAATATAGATCAGTTGTAAATATCCTTAAAATAAAATATAAGATTCAAGCCATAATTTGAGCAAATATCAGTCAGTTGTAAATATTTTTAAAAAAAGTTAATGAACATGAACTTAACATTTCACGATACAAGTCACTATTAAAATAAATAAAGAATAAAATGTATTTAAAAAGCTAATAAAAATTACCCTAGAAGCCATGATTGTATCACATAATATTTTTACTTCATTTTGATTCAAAAGAAGATCTTTGTGAAATCTAGCAACAAAATTAATAAATTTTGACATTATTTTATATATATATATATATATATATATATATATATATATATATATATATATATATATATATATATATATATATATATATACATATATATATATATATATATATATATATATATATATATATATAAAATATATCGCATAATATTTTTACTTCATTTTGATTCAAAAGAAGATCTTTGTGAAAAAATTATATTATATATATACATATAAATATAATATACATATTATATATATATATATATATATATATATATATATATATATATATATATATATATATATATATATATATATATATATATATATATATATATATATATATAAATGTATATATATATATATATATATATATATATATATATATATATATATATATATATATATATATATATATAACTTAAAATATGTTTATAACCAATAAGTAAAAAAATTAGTCAACAAAATAAACAATAAACGAAATATTTTCTTCTTTTAATTTTACAAAAATTACTCTAATTATAAATTTTAACACTAGAGGCCTTTCAAACTGATGACTTTTTGAAAGGCCTCTAGTGCTAAAATTTATAATTAGAGTAATTTTTGTAAAATTAAAAGAAGAATATATATATATATATATATATATATACATATATATATATATACATATATATATATATATATATATATATATATATATATATATATATATATATATATATATATATATATATATATATAGATGTATAGTTTTTCACTTACCGGGACAGATTTTACAATAAACAAAGACTTACAGGGACATTATTTACCTACCCAAGGCCCGAGGGGGCCACTACAGTCGAGGAGGCTACTACTTTTTTTTTTTTTTTTTTTTTGTAAATCGTGGTACAACCCTCTCTCAACTCTTTAACTCCAAAACACAAACTTTGACAAGCAAGGCTGCTGCGCGGAGAAATTAAGTTGAGAGCGGTACTTCCAGGGACATGGTGGGAGTCGAACTTCGAACCTCTGGCTTACAAAGCGAGCGCTCTTACCACTACACCATTACCGCATGCATAAAAATAGTATAAAAAAGCAAAAAAAACAACAGATCAGGAACAAAAAAAACATGTCCCTGAAAGTCGTGATTAGGATACTATATATATATATATATATATATATATATATATATATATATATATATATATATATATATATATATATATATATATATATATATATATATATATATATATATGATATATGATATATAACATATATCATATATATAACATGACATACATTTAAAAAACTTTTTTTCTTCTGTTTAGGGTCTTGTTGCAAGTTTCAGACTTAATGTGGCCCCCCTAAATCTCATTCAATTTTGAAAAAATTTAACAGAGTGTCTCGTGAGAACCAACAGATGGTTTTAAGAATAGGGACAGATCAAATTTTGAAAGTATGGGGCGTTTGATGCACCCTAAAATATATATATATATATATATATATATATATATATATATATATATACATATATATATATATATATATATATACATATATATATATATATATATATATATATATATATATATATATATATATATATATACATATATATATATGTATATATATATATATATATATACATATATATATATATATATATATATATATATATATATATATATATATATATATATATATATATATATATATATATATATATATATATACATATATATATATATATATATATATATATATATATATATATATATATATATATATATATATATATATATATATATATATATATATATATATATATATATATATATATAGATCAAGCAATTTGTCTATGCTGATTCAAATTGGCAGAAATTTGCTTGGTATATTATGTGGAGAACCCCAGGGATCAATATTAGGACCCTTACTATTTCTTATTTACAGCAATATTCTCTATAAAAACTCAAACTTAATGACCATTATGTTTGCAGATGACACTCATCTGTTTTTATCTCACATAAACATAAATTATCTATTTGAAAACATGAACAATGAACTAGTTAAAATCTATGATTGGTTTGAGACAAATAAACTTTGATAAAACCAAATGAATTTTCCATCATCATTTTAAAAAACACTTACTGTCAAATGACATGCCTTTTCTTTTAATCAATAATACTATAATAAAAAAAGTAAGCTCTACCAACTTTTAAGGGGTTTATATTGATGAAACTCTCTCATGAAATTAGCACATTGAAATTTTGGCAATAAAATATCTAAAAGTATTGGAATATTATATAAAACAAGAAACAACCTAAATAAGCACACTCAACTATATCATTCTTTTTACCCATGCCAGGTATTTTCTAGGAGAACTTGGCATAAACTGACATTGATGTTTTTAGTATATACAAACTGAATATTTTTAGTATTTTTTGTTTTATGTGTAAATGTAAAAAAAAAACAGTTAATCTCCTAAACCCTTTCAAAATTTATTTACTTTAAAATAAAAGAACAAATATATATTAAGAACTGATAAAGCTATTTGACAACCTGCTTACCATACAAATTTTTGAACTTTTCTGTGGAATAAAATATTTTCAAAAAGTTTTGATATTTTTAAGAAATGTAGTTATCTCTCCTTTAAACAAAAACTAAAAAAATATTATACTTTTATTTGATGAAATAAAAAAGGTCATAAGTCAATAAAAATCTTTTTTATGAAAATGAAAACAATATTTAACAATCATGATATAATTAAAAAAAAGGTTAAAACAACAGGGGGCATTGTGACTTTGATCGAATGGCAAAAGTCTAACTTGTAAGCACTCCTTGATGTAAATATCCGAGTTCAAAGATGACAATGTGACAAAGCTTGAGATCTCAAACTGCAGCTGCATACTGCTCGCCATAAGTAAAGTTTCTTAGCAAAGTTATCCAATGACTTATACTTGAACTTGTCCAAAAACTTGACACATCCAAAAACAATTGAAGTGTAAAAATTTGGACTTAGGAGCTGTTTGAAGTGATATTTGATGTACGTTTTGTCATCCATAATTATGCAGTTATTAAATTTTGTAAGCACTTCATCATAAAGTTTTCGAGCTCAAGTTTTAGCAGTCAGTGATTGCTTATCTGATTGGTTTGGATATTTAATAACTTAATAAGACTTGAAATTGTTAAACTTTATAAATTTCCTGACAAAAAAATTCTGCAACTTTTTGGCTCATTCTCTGATCGAAAAGCTAGAATTTTGCGTGAATGATCATTGAATACTAATTGCTGCTATTTTATTCTTAAAGTCACTCTCTCTTCCAGATCCTTTTGCTCATTCGATAGATAAAGAGCTCTTGTATTACTTTATGACTATATAAACAGTTGTTTTGCAAGATTCAGGTGCTTAAGCAATTGAAAATAATGATGCAAAAGAATTTTGTAGATAGTTGTTCAGAACTCTTTTTTTTTTTTTAACTGTTTCGATGACATTTTAATTGGGTAAAATATTTGGACTTGTTTGTTGATGTTTTTAATTAATACTATCATTACTTAATGTAATTACGCAAAAAAAAAATTATTTTGAAATGTGTTAGTGACATGTTTTAAAACAAAATTGATTGTTGCAAATTTAACAATCGAATGCTTTATATATAGAGAGAGACTATTCTAAACCGTTTTTGACAGCATCGACCATATTAGGGCGCCACCTTTTTTTTTTTTTAACGTCTTCTACGACAAATATTGTTTTTTTGCAAAAAACGCCTATATTTGGCAATATTTCCGCTAAATTTCTCTAGGAAAGAGAGTCCTGAATCAGTTGATGTAAGTTTCAGTATATGTATATATATATATATATATATATATATATATATATATATATATATATATATATGCATATACATATATATACATACAGCATTTCTTACGATGGTAAGCAGTTTTACATCATACTGAAATAGGTAGCTACCAGGGAGTTCAGTATATAAATTGACTATGTAGAACATGCTAGAGAGATATGTTATTTGTATTACTTTTGTAATTTATTTTTGTCTTTAGTACTTTGAATTCTTATTCGACGAAGCTTTTGTTGCAATTGTGAAGTAAGGCTAAAATAAATAAAAAATTATTTAAACTTGGTTTCTCAAGGTAATAACATTTAATAATAAGAAAACATTTAAAAAGAAAAAAAAAAAACATAAAGTTAACACTAATTGCTTGTTAACTATTTACTACTGATAAATTATGTTTGTACAATAAAACTAATTAAAACATTAATTTTGAATTTGATTCAACAAGAAATTCAACAAGAAAATTTTCTTTTGAAATTTAAAAATTACATAATGAAGTTAAAATATTTCTTTTTTTCAAATTTGATATTTTGATAAATTTTACATAATTAGTATGTTTAACAAAATGATAAGGATAAAAATGGCATCATAACAATGTTCTTTGATGGAACTAAGGTCATAAATTAAAATCACTTTCAATCATTGTTGAAATGTAAAAAAAATAATTGTAAAATATATTTTAATAATTAATTTAAAAGGTCATTTCTTTATTCTTAATTGCTTATGTTATCGCTTGTACTACTTTAACTAGAAAATTACTGAAACTCTTGATCTTTTGAATTTTGTTTTTTAATTCCATTTTAAAAAACAATTTTTCTTTATATATAAAAAAAATATATATATTTTTTTCACATCAGCAAAGTTTTAAATCTTGAAATTATTTTAAAAATATTTTATTCATAGACATTAATGATTTTACATGTTAGTTTAATGAGTAGAACTCAGAAATGCTGTCTTTGCATTTGTTTGGTGAATGTAAAAATCACAATTGTTTTTGTATTTAATCTAATTAAATAGTAAATAGTTATTTAAACATATTTTTTTTTTACAATAACTTACGCTTTGTATTCTTCATATCTTGTTTTTGATTCTTTAAAATAACTAGACACCAAACTTATAAAAACTTTATCACTGTGATTTTCTTTTCTCTCTTTATTTTCACAAGCTTGATGATATTTTATGTTTGCTTTTGATTGGTTGATTGGATTATTGATATTTGCTTTTGATTGGTTGATTGGATTATTGATATTTGCTTTTGATTGGTTGATTGGATTATTGATATTTGCTTTTGATTGGTTGATTGGATTATTGATATTTGCTTTTGCTGCTTGCATCACATCGATTTCAGTTTGCAAAGATTTCGAACTTAAATATTGGGAAACAAGTGGGCTGAGAAGAATTTCAGGCTAAATAACAAAGAGATAAAAGAAATCAGAAAGTTTTATTAGTAACACTATTAATACTTAGTTATAGTCACTACAAGGACAGATAAATAAAGTTCAGTATTGAACTCATGGATATGTACCATACTATATATACTAAATATATATAACAAAAAAAGGTGAAAAACATTCACAGTAGGTTGTGCCATACCACAGTAAGTAAAGAAATGTACTTGAACTTACAAAAATTTAAAAACAACAAAAAAATATTTTACTCGTATATGATTAATAAAAATTACTAATTGAGTAGAGATTTTTTGCCCAACAACCCAAAACTTGAATCTGTTATGGTTTTGGAGTTATGAGGTTTTAAAGAATAAAAATTTTATTACAATCACAGTAGGAGAAGAGATTATTATAGTAAATTTAGTGTAACAATTATTTAGTGATAGTTCCAATAACTTATGTCAATAATTATTATATCTAACAGTAATTGGATTATTAATTGATTATAACTAATAATTGGAATATTAAAATTTTAGAAAAAAAATACCTATCATAGAAAATTCTAGTTAAAATTAAAAAAAACTACAAAACTAATATGTGACTGAAAAAAAAAACTTTGACATGAAAAGAGAAACTTTGAAATAAATAAACTACAAATTAAAAAACCTGCTTTTGTTTCAAAATTTTGCATGATGGAATAAATTTTTCCATTTTAATATTAAATTTATATGATGGAAGATTTCTCTTGAAAGAAGTTAACACTAAAAAAAGAAATAAAATAAAAAAATGAAGATTCTTAAAAAAGAAAAAAACTTTAGGCATTAAAAAAGTTTGAAACAAAAATTAGGAAAAAAGTATTAATAAAAAACAAAAAAACAATTTTTATTTTTATTACCCATATTTTTTTCTAAATGTTTAAAAAACAAATCTTTCATATCTTTTGCATCTGAATTATCATTATTTTTGGTCAATTCTTCTTTATTTGTATGCTCTTTTAAAAATGTTGGAAGATTAAGAGTCTCAACATTCCATGATTTTGTAACTTCATCCACGTTTGGAATTACACCTTAACAAATTGAAAATTCTAAAATTTAAAAAATTTAAAAAAAAATGTTAACTTATGATTTAATTTATAGCATATAAAAAGTAATTTATAAAATATGACATAAAATATAAATTTGTAGATGTTATTTTATTATTATTTTTCACAAATAAGGTTTAAATAATTTTTTGCCACAAATAAAAATACTTTTGAATTAAAAAAAGCAAGATTTTAATATTTTTTTAAAAATTGGTTTTTCATATTTTAAATATGAAAAAACTAAGAACTTTTAACAAACATGTTAGTTTGATGGCAGGTGAATTTTAACTTCGTGTGCTGCAAACTGCCTGATTTCTGATTCATTTTAGAACATAATATGTTACTGCATTTATTTTAATAACAGCCCCTACATTTATTTTAATAACAGTCTAAGCCTTGTGTTCTTTGCAAAACATGAACTTGTGAGCTGCAAACTTGTATGTTATTCACAGCCAAATGCCTTATATTGTCAGTTTTAGAAGTAATAATTCTTCTTCTTCCAAAAAATTTTACTGTTGACTTGATATTATGAAAAGTTGTCTTCTTCAAATGTGGAACAATCAATCATTCTTACCATCTTTCTTTAAAAAGTTGTACATGTACAAATTTAGCAAGTGATGTTGTAGTCATACTTTACTACATTAAGTTGACTATGTTACTCATTTACTACATTAAGTCGACTAGGGTACTTATTTACTACATTAAATTGACTCTGTTACTCATTTATACACTGTCATGTTAATTAAGAATATATTGTTTTGGGCAGTGCCCAAAAAAAACTTTCTCCAGCTTCCTTTCTTGATTTATATTCATTAAAGGAAAAAAATAAATATTTTTTAAGAAATGATAATTTTATTAACCAATCAGTTTTCCAAACAAACTTTGGTATATCTTGCATTTCCTTTTCAGAAATTTTTATGGAACAAAATAATTTTTTATGGAACCAAATAATTTTTTATGGAACAAAATAATTTTAAAAAATTATGATTTTTTTCATAAATAAAATTATTTGTCCCAAAAAAAACTAAAAGAAGTAACTTTTTCCATTGAAAATATGTATTTATATACTTATAAATTATGTCCAGTTTCATTTTACAAAATTTTATTTAACTTTTATGCAATATAAATTTAAAATGTGAGAAACTTTATGTATCATTATTTTAATTTGTTAAAAGTTGCACTAATCATTTGTATGCTTATTTTTGATATTTTTTGTTGTTGTTAGTACAGCACTTTTTAGCAATAATTTCTATAAGACAAGATAATCTAATGCATATGCCTGTTTTTCATATTCGTGGACTTTTAACATTTACCAGGTTTATTCTTATTATAATTTATTATATCGTAATAAAAAATTACAAAATTTATATACTTTAAAATAAATTTAATTTTATAATAAAAAGTGAAAATATATATAAATTTTTTTTAGGTTATTTAGGTGCTCCCAGAATTCCTTTTGGTTTTATCACGGAGCACCGCAGGAGAGCATTTAACTAGAAGTTCACACTTTCCTTACTAATGTCACTTATTAGGCTAGAGCCGACGTCAAATCTTGGACCTCTGGGTTCTGAGCCAGAACTCTAACCACTGCACCACGGCTGTGTATATATATATATATATATACATATACATATATAAATATATATATATATATATATATATATATATATATATATATATATATATATATATATATATATATATATATATATATATATATATATTTGAGCAGCCGTGGCGCAGTGGTAGCGCACTTCCCTCAGAAACGTAAGATTCGTGGTTCAAACCCCACCTCTGGGGCAAGTTTTGCGACATTGGTTGGGAAGGAGGCATGAACTTCCTATTAAATGCTTTTCCGCAGTGCTCTATGATAAGACCGTTAGGACTTCTTAATCAATATAATATATATATATAATATATATATATATATATATATATATGCGTACATGTATATACATCAAAACTAAATGCAAAACAGTGGTTTGACGTTTTTGTCAGCAGAAGCATAAGCTTGATACATATCCATAATACAATATATATAATATATATATATATATATATATATATATATATATATATATATATATATATATATATATATATATATATATATATATATATATATATATATATATATATATATATATATATATATATATATGTATATGTATATGTATATGTATATGTATATGTATATATATATATATATATATATATATATATATATATATAATATATATATATATATATATATATATATATATATATATATATATATATATATATATATATATATATATATATATATATATATATATATATATGTATATGTATATATGTATATGTATATGTGTATATATATATATATATACATATACATATATATATGCATATGTATATATATCAGGGTTGGTACCCAAAAACCCAAACCCAAAAACCCACCCAAAAAGCCAAGACCAAAAACCCACGAAAAACCCAACTTTATGGGTTTTTGGTCTTAAATTTTTAATTTTTAATTTTTTTGTTCATAAATCAATTTCCATTAACACACAAGATTTGATGCTGCTCAACTAACAACAAAAAATGAAGTTTAGTAAGTCATAAACAAGAATTTTATTTTACTTGGAGCAATAATATTCAAGCTTAATCATTTAAAACAAAGTAATCTAAAAGTCATCAGCAATTGTGCATCTTGATCTTAAATGTCTGTAAATTCGTACAAGCATTTCAGCTTTTTCTCTTCCTAAACGATTTCTAATTTTGCTCCAAATAATCCCAAAAGATGAGAAATGGATCTTGAAATGGATCAAATGGATCTTTTGAAATGAAAACTCTTTCTATTTTTTTAATTATGCTCACTTTGCAATAATTACATATTACTCTATTTGGTTGATCACTTAATATGGTCACTTCATTCCACTCACTAGCCTTATTTCTTCCCCCTGAATGATACTTTGGCATGTTGAAGACGTATAATCTACTTATATTTTAAATTTAACTAAAAAGATAACTCTATTTAAAAATAGATTTATATTATAAAAAAATGCAATCTGATTATTAATAAAGCTTTTGTATAAGAAAATATACCTGTAAAAAATGAAAAATAGCTTTATTATATTATAAACTGTAAATTAATCAAACTTTTATTACTAAAGATTTATACCAAACTTTAGCAAAAACCCATCAAAAACCCACCCAAAAACCCACCCAAAAACCTAGCTGGGTTGGGTTTTTGGTCAAAAACCCGGGTTTTTGCCAACCCTGATATATATATATATATGTATATGTATATATATATATATATATATATATATATATATATATATATATATATATATATATTTATATATATATATATATATATATATATATATATATATATATATATATATATATATATATATATATATATATTAAATATTTTATAAACTAAAAGTGATTGTTTCCTAATTTTTTTTTTATTGAAATAAATCAAATAATCACAATATAACATGATTATAAAATAATAAAAATTTAAAAAATCAAAAACTAAAATATTGAAATTAAAATAAGTGTTTATTTTTATCAAAAAATAAATGTGGCCAAAATAAACAAACCACAAAAATAAAATTAGCAAACCGTAATAAAAAAATACTTAAAAAATATATTAAAAAAAAAGAATATTTTTTTGACAATCCTTTTGCTTTTAACCATTCTTTGATATGTTTTGGCATGGAGTTCACTAAATTTTGAGTAATCTCTTTTGCAACACTATTATGTAATTTTGTTACTAATTTTTTCAGCTGGTCCAGATCTTTTATTTCAATTTTACTAAGATTGTAGTTCAACACAGACCACAAATTTTCTATGTAATTGAGATCTGGACTGTTGGCAGGCCAAGACATGGTTTTAATGTTGTTTCCTTCAGACAATTGCTTACAAATAATAGCAGTATGGAAAATTATCTTGTTGGAAGATTCCCATGTCTTTTGGGAAGATGTCAATAGAAGGCATTAAATAATTATCCAAGATAATTATTTAATGCCTATTAAGGTATTTATCAGTAGATGATAAACCTTTTTTTTTTACTATGCGAATAAGTGAACGTTTATTTCTTTTTTTTGAAATGCTGAGTCTTACAGAACATAGAAGATTTTGAATTGAATTGTAGCTTTAATATCAGCTGACTATTCTGATAAAAATTGTTGTGTTAAAATGTTTTTCAATTTCTCTTATTAAGATCCTTTGTCATTCATTACTATGATTTAACACTTTGTTATATTATCAATAATTTTTCCAGTCAATTTTATTGTTTTATTGGTGAAATATTGTAATTAATTTGATTTCATAAACTAATAAGATTTGCATAAAATGAAATAGAACTCATTTTTCTATTTCATTTTATGCAAGCTTTTCAAATATTTATAACAATTTAAATAAAAATTATTTTATAATTATAAATAGTTTGCAAGTAAGTGCAATGTTTTAATCAAAGAAAAATAAATTTTTGAAGAAAGTTTGATATAATAGAGTGGATTGTTAATTTTGGCCATAAGAATTATTTTAAATTATGCAATATAATTAGCACATCAAATATTATTTTTATGGACATCTATGTTTATTTGAAAGAAAATAAAATGCTCATTAATATACATTTTTTTATATTTAAGAAGAGTCAAACAATCATTTAATATCAAAGTCAAATCATTAAAAAAAAACATGCTGGATTGTTATTAATGGCCAATATGTATATGTATATGTATATATATATATATATATATATATATATATATATATATATATATATATATATATATATATATATATATATATATATATATATATATATATATATATATATACATATATTAGGGTGGATCGATTTTCATAGCAAAAAAAAAAAAAAAAGTTTAAAAATTAATATTCCTGAGACACGAATAGATGTCTATTAATTATAAGATAAAAGTAAAAAAATATTTTTTGATTTTGATGAGATCTTGAGGTTC